GCGGCAGATCTCTCCTGTCTTGCCCATTGCTCCCCTCAGCAGTATACTTCATCAATCTGCTTGTTCTGCCCCCTACTCTGTCTCTGGTGAAGCCTCTTATCGCCCCTGCACCTCTGGCTTATATCCCAGTTCTGTATGAATAAATAATTCTTTAAAAAAAAAAAAAAAGAAGAGTTATCCATCAATCTGCGTATACCGTGGCAACAAAGCAGGGTACTGCACCATAAGACAGGCACAGTGCCAGGAGTCAAGGGGAGTCAGAGGTTCTACAGGGCTGTTAGGCCTTGATGAGTCTGCACTGTTGTCACCAATATGCCCTCCAGGCTCAAGGCCTAGAGCACATCATCCATTCACTACTCTAGGCTCCTAAAGAATGGATTCTGTTTTTCAGTCTCAAGAAAAATACAGCAACCTAATTAACTTCAAGCCAACATGCAAGTCCTGAGTGGTACCTCCTGTAGCAAAGCCATGATCAGAAATTCAAATCCAGGCTAGCCCCTGCCTTCAGAATGAACCATGCAAGTGGCTAGCATTGCTTTCAGTATTTATAACAGTATAACTATTATACAGAAAAAGCTTTTTGTCTTAAAAGCTAAGACAAAAAAGGCACTCTGAAAACAGCAAGAAAGCAGGTTTTCATTTCACAAGCAGCCCAGAGCCACGGGCTCTGTTCAGAATATGGTCTCGGAAGTTGGACATGATATCCCCAAGTCAGACCAGGGAAGTGCCCCAAGTTGACCCACAAAACTACCCTGCATTTCAGGCACTGAGAAGTCCAATCTCTGGGCAGTAATCCAAGGAAGAACCAATTTGGCCCCCACATTTAAAGTTACCCCAAAGCTGCAAGAGACCCAAGCGTCATCATTCAAACTCTCATTTGCAAAGGTAAACACTTCAACCATGCAGTGGTTGGAGAGGCTCAAGGCACAATTAAGAGAGGTCCCCTCTAAACAGCCACTCTGACAGGCAAACACAGTCTGAACCTTCTTTTTATTTAGAGCTCACTCGAAGATATGTCCTACAGTCAAATGTTACTAATTTGATGCCCACCCAAGTATCCTGCTTAGAATTGGGTTTTTTATAGCATCTGGCCTACAGGAATTACCACACTTCCCCTTCATTTACTGAATGTTGCAAAGGACGACCCTTGTCCTAGGCCAGGTCTCACTGAGGAACAGGACAGGTCTTCTGCCCTTGGGTAACTGAGAGTTCAGTCTGCAAGGAGAGATCATACATATGGGAACAGGTAATGCAAGAATTACCAGAAGTTCCAGACATTGGCAGACAGAGCAGAGCAGGTGCAGGCAAAAGCCAACCTTCATTCTAAGAGCCCAGAGACACCCTCAATGGTATCATCGGAACCAAGCCTTGAAGGATGATCTATACTGAAATAGATCAAGGGGACTCCAGGGAAAGAGAACGCATAAAAGGAAGCATGCAGTTAGGAATCCTTAATGGGGTGGACACAGAAAGCAGTCCAGCTGAATTAAGCTACTGAAAGGGAAATAGTGACAAATCAGGCTGGCAAAGTAGAAAACACACACACACACACACACACCTGCACACAAATGCAAGACACACTTCAACCCTAAACCAAGTTGAGTACAGAGTCAATATTACCCACAGGTATGCAAACTCCTGAGGGTGCTGGGGCAGAAACCAGGTGGAGAACCAGTGATTCGTTACATTTTCTGTGGTATCTGCCTGATCTCTAAGAGCCCACGTGTCTTCAGGAGAAAACCCTGGGTGGAAGATGACTAGGGACCGGGTGTGCAGGGAGGGCAGGCAGAGCAAAGGCCAATCTCAATGCCCCTTGTCAGGATACTAGACAAGGATCTCAAAGGGGCTCCAGAGCTGGTCCAAGTAAAGAGGAGAGGTGGGAGGCATATCAGCACCACACTTCAGGGGTGCTTAATGTTAGGGCCAGCAGGTTCCCAGACATTGCATCTTAGGTGTCTCTCCTGCTTCATCATAACTCTGCTCCTGCCATCCTGCAAGTCTGGGACCTGCCTGTGTTGGGCATCTATTTTTAAAAAGATGGAAAGAGGGGAGCAAATCAGTTCCACATCAGCTTCCAGCATGTAGATACCGATTACCAGTGGATACCATCTCTTTCTCACGGGAAACAGTCAGGTTGCTATGAAAAAAATGCCGGGGCCATGTGTGTCCACCTGCCCGACACACTCACCTGGACAATCGGCTTCGTCGCTCTCATCCTCACAAGTCACCCAGCCGTCACACTGCCAGGGGAGGGGGATGCACTGGATGGCGCCACTGCGACAGGCAAACTGCCCAGGGTTGCACCGCAGCTCTGTGGAACCAAAGGGCAAGAGGCCGTTGAGGAAGCAGCAGTAGCAGCAGTAGCAGCAGCAGAGGCCTTGGGTGGCCAAGCCTGACATCTCCCAGTCCCATGTAAGAGTGAACTGAAAACCAGGCAGCCTGCCCACAGCCCGCCTCCTCACAGGCCTGTACACATACCCCAAGAAGGACATGCTAAGAGCTGTGTTAAAAATGCTACACACCCCCAAAGCACTGATTTCTATGTGCACACACAGTTTCTGACAAAAAGCAAATGGAGGTGGCCACTACAGATACACCAACCAGCATGTTGAAACACAAAGGAAGAAGAAACTGCCTCTACCCAAGGAGCTCTGGAATGCTCCCTAAGGATATGAACAGGGCTCCCAATGAAGGTCAATGGTTTTAGAAGGTATATATAATGTAAAGGAAAAAGCATTCCAGAAAAGCGGAGCCTAAGGAAGTAACACTGGGGAGAACACAACAAGCAGCCTGTGTGGGACTGCTGACACAAAATCACTGGAGATAAGAAGGGTCAGATTGTGGATAGCAGCTCTGAGGAGGTAACAGGATCAGAAACACAAGAAGGGTCAGATTGTGTGGATAGAGGCTCTGAGAGAGTAACAGGTGGCAGAAGCCAAAAGACTATTACAGGGTGCCCCCAAGAGGGGGTGCTGGTGCTGGCAAGGATGGATAGCGCCAGGGAAAATGGAAACAAAGTATCCGTGGGGGTGAGACTGTAAAAAATTATAAGACACTGCAGAAGAGACCCCTGGGATTCAATATTGGGGATTTCAGCGTTTGGGGATCTTCAGGGATTTCAGGAATTGCAACTTCTGCCCCCACCATGCAAATCTTCCAGAAAACTGTCACAGGCCTCTGAAGGACATGGAGAGGCTTCCAGTAGCCAAACTCAGAGGGGAAAAGTTTGGCGACTTCGCAAGTAGCCGAGCAACTGAAACTGTTCTCAGTTTTGCTGCTGTTAAAGCTTGTCAGAGAAAGTGAAGACCTGGAGCCAGGCCCTGCTGAGCTGCGTGAATGTGGCCGTTTGTCAGGTCATTTGGCCACTGCAGCTGCTGACTTGAGTGTCACTTGTCTGGTGCTGTGCTGGGGCATTTTGGCAGCTCTGTGAGAGTCTTCTGTTGTGTCTTCTGCTGTCTCCATGAGTTGGACTCAGCCTATATAGTCTGGCTGCCATGTGCTCTGCACCGTCAGTGGTGGGAAGACACCATCTTGGGAGCATTTGTGATTAAGATTTTAAAACACAGGACACAGCTTCAAGTGAGGTAAACGGCTATTTTTGGTCTTTGGTGACTCTTTGTTTTACCCTCGTTTGTTGAATAAATCCCATTTTGTTGTTTTCCGAACCTGACTAGTCTTAAATTGTGCACGTGGGTGAAGAACTCAGACAGTGACCAATAAACTACCCAGGCAGTGTCTTTGGCCAGTTTTAGTGCCCTTTGCTGCCCTGTATTAAGAGTAAGATGGTTCTTAATAGGGAGCCAGTAAGTAACAAGATCTATGTTTTAAGCAAGGTGCAACTAGTGATGCTTTGTGAAAGCAATTAGGATAGAGGGACCACACAAAAAATTAGTAAGTAACTCAGCAAAGTAAGGCCGAGGTCAGCAAATTATAGCCCACAAACCAAATCCTAGTCTTCCCATTGGTTTTTTTTCCCCAGTAAATTTGTACTGGAATACAGCCACAAATATGTATTGTTTGTGGCTGCTTTCCAGCCACAATAGCCCAGAGGAAGGTTACAAGAAAGATTACAAATTCTGCTAAAAATTGAAAATATTTACTCTCTGGGTTTCCAGGAAAATGTCTGCAGAATCCTTAACTGAGATGACAGCTGATACATAGGTACACCTTGGCACTAAAGAAATCATGGAGGTGTGAGGGGATGGACTCGTGTACAAGGGGATGGACTCGTGTACAATGAGTTGAGGATATAGGAGTAAAAACAAATGTGGTATTGCTATATCTGTTCCCTCAGTTGAAGTCTTTCTCCTGTAATCATTCTACTTAAATTCAGAAAGAAACAGAATTATTCCTGTGCCTGAGTCCTGTCCATTCAGCTGAACCCACCACCACTCTAATTTATCAAGGAAGATGAATCTACCAAATGAGGTAGGAGGTGGAAGCTGAGCCTGAGCCATCCCCCCAGCCACCCCAGCACACCACCAGGAGCCCCACCAGTGGAAGTAAGTCACAGCAGCAGTACATTCAGGAGAGCCTCTTCAGAGTGCTGTGTGCACAGCAGGGTCAGACACAAGCACAGCCTCAATTCCACATCCTCTCCTCGCAGGGTCAGACATACATCCTCCACGGGAAAAGAAGCAATTCTGAATTCAGCACTACCTCTTCTCCACCTACTGCTTTGCATTGTGGTAAATCAATACAATCTAAGTTTAACAGAAATCGTTATAAAATATCCAACATTCATGAAATATTCACTGTGTTGTATATTTTATAAAGGTTTTGGGCCAAGATGGACTTACGACAAATTTAACTGTCCACCATATAGTTTTCCAGACAATGAACATCAGACACAAAAAGACAGTGAACCCAAGAGTTAGTAATGAAACATGAGAGGTAAACCCCACTGTCTCAGGCACATTTCCAGGCTGCAGATATATACACCACAAAATTTTGAGATGCAGAGCATTCTATTCTAAGGTTCTTATACTATAAAGTGGTCTGTCATGTTGAGATAAAATGTAACCTAAAAACAAATACCACTAAACTAACTTAACAGTCATAGCAAGGAAGCCAGCAAAGAAGATAAAATGAAATAATACAAAGGCAGAAAAGGAAACAAATAAATCAGTATAAATAGAAAAACCCAAGAAAAAACATAAATTTGTATAGATATCAGGTAATTTAAATACTCCAACAATAAGACAGTTTATCACATGGGTAAAAATGTAAGAATCAACTTATACATTGTATAAGAGAAACCACTTTATGTAAAGTCACAAATAAGTGAAGACAAATTAATGGAAAAAGATAAACCAAGCAAATAATGATAAAGAGAAAGCAAGAAAATCTATATTAATATTACATAAATTACAATCAGTAACATTACCAGGAATGAAGGTCAATTTAATAATAATAGTAACGCTGGTTTTGCATCAATAGCACATCTTCAAATCACAAAGGAAAAACTACTATCACTGCTAATACACGACTTCACAATCATAGCCAAATTATTTCAATCCCTTCTCTCAATAATTGACAGAACACACAGAAATATCAGCAAAGATACAGACAACTTGAATTAACACTAACAACTAACTGAGTTTAACCAAAATTTATAGAATTCTCTATCTCCAAACAGCAGAATACATTCTTTTCAAATACACACATAACATTTACTATAATAAATAATAATATGGGACATAAAGTAAATCTCAATACATTTTCAGTATGTTTGCAAATTCAAATAATTCAAATCATACACAGTATAAATTAAAAATCAACAGATACTGGGGTCTTCCCTGGTGGTACAATGGACTGAAGCACAGTTCCAAGGAGCTAGCTGCAGCCGCTTCACCCCGGCCGGGGGGGAGGAGGGGTGTATGTGACCCATATGGCGCAGACCTCTCCTGTCTCACCTGCTGCTCCCCTCAGCACTGTACTTCATCAATCTGCCTGTTCTGCTCCCCACTCTGTCTCCAGTGAACCCTCTCACCCCCTGCACCTCTGACATTTATTACTTTCTTTCATTGCTTACTTGGGTTTAATTTGACGTTCTTTTCTAAGATGAAGTTACTGAGAACTTGTCTAATACAGGAATTTAGTGCTATAAATTTTTGTATACATCAATCAATCAACAGATACCAGGAAAATCCCCCAATTGCGTGGGAACTGATACACTTCTACCTAAGTAATCCATGGGTCACAAAAAAGAAATGAAAAGGCGAATTAAAATTAATGAAAACTTATGGAATGCAGCTTAGGCAAATTTATAGAACTAAATCCTGTATTTGACAAGGTCTCAATAACTTCGGCTTAGAAAAGAAGGGCAAATTAAACCCAAGTAAGCAATGAAAGGAAGTAATAAAGATCAGAGTAGAAACTGGTAAAACAGGAAAATAATGAAAATGAAGAGCAGTGTTTTTTATTTTTTAAATCAGTAACAGTAAACCTTTAGCCAGACTATATTAGAAAATACAGAATATCACTATCAGAAGAGGGATGTCATCATCATAGATACAGAGATGACAATTAAGTGAAATGGACACATTCTTTGAAAGGCACAAAATTCCCTCAAAAAAGAACCCAATAACCTGAAGTCCCATAGTTTATAAATTTAAAAAACCATCACACACACACACACAAACCTTCACACAGAAAAATTCCAGGCCTAGATGACTTCACTGAAAGCTTACCAAATATTTAAGAAAGGAAAAAAAAAAAAATACCAGTAATATACAAACTCTTACAAAAGCTCAAATATTTAAAAATTACTGAAATAATAGTATCATAAAATGAAGTGCCTCGGGAAAAATCTTAAGACAAAAATGCAAGTTCTACTCCCTGAAAATTACAGAATATTGCTGAGAAAAAATTATGAAGACCTAAAACTACTAGAAAATACAAAATACTCATGGATAAGTAGGCTCAATATTGTTAAGATACCAATTCTACCCAAATTCACGTACAGATTCAGTCATCGCTTCTCAGCCTTCTGGCTAAAATCAAGGTAGATTTAATGTAATCCCAGTTGATATTTCAGGTGGTCTTTTTATAGACATTAACTGACTCTAGAATTCATATGGAAATGAAAGGACTTAGAATACTCTGTAAAGCATGAATGAAGTTGGAGGGTCGATACAACTGACTTCAAGACTTACAGTAATAAAGGCAGTGTGGCATAAGTGTCAAGACATTCTTTAAGACCCATGGCATCAGAATAGAGTCCAGAAATAGGTCTACCCATGTGGGCAACTGATTTATAACAAAGATAAAGTCAATTTCCTAGAATAGTCCTTCCAACAAATAGAACCATACCAACTAGATAACCACTTATAAAAAAAGGACTTTGATACATTTCTTGTACTAAAAATTAAAGTATATCAGAGACCTAAATGTAAAA